ACTTAATAGCAAAACCTATATTAAAAAAATTTTTTTTTCCTAAGATGGGTTTCTCAAAACAATGCTGGGAAAGCACGCTTACGTGCCCCTCACCAGCAGCTGGTGCTTGGCCAAATGGCGGCAGCTCGGTTCATTTTCAAGTCATCTTTTGGCTTGGATTACACTCTGAATTACAGACGCATCGGTTTTTATGTTACCCCGGTTTGGACACTTCCAGTGCTGCTTTCAATATACCAATTTAATTTTTACTGAAAGATGATGCCCAAACTTGTCAATCCTCAGGATATATGCGACATAATAGTATTAAAGACAAATGGCAGGTTTTTTGTTTTTTTTCCCTTTTATCAAGGTAAGCGATGAAACAAATCTGGAAATCAAGACGGTTTTTCTGGAATATTTAGTTCGTGAAGCTTCACTGTTTTCTATACTGGATGCAGTTATCTAGCATACTTTTGATAGAATATCTTTATAAAATCATTTGTTCTAATCTAAGCATTTATCATTATATGCAAAAAGATTTCTTGATGAGAATATTATAGACGGTGCCTGTTTTTGACATTAGCATTTTATTTGGATGACTAATCTTGCAGATGTGAAATTTTAATGAATTATTCATGAAATTGCTTTCCTCTGAAATTTTAGTTTGCTCTTAATGCTAGTTATTAAACATTTTTTTTTTTTTTTTTCTGCATAAAATTTGATGAGGAGAAATAAGGGTGTGCTTCCTTGGGAGAAAAAGGTAGCCTCTATCTTTTCAGTGTTTTCCAGCTCCCTAAGTGGAGACATAGCACTTTGAAATCCTGAGGATGAGAGCTTCAGCCCTCTGTGATGATGAAAGCTTTTAGTTAAGATTGATTTTAATTCTGTGTTGGAAGCAGCTGGTGATAACACAGAAGGCATATGCTTAACATACAAGATCAGCAGGTCAGAAGAGGGAAAGAAACTTAGGCTGTCGCGACTTTTTACTACCAGTGTGAACAACCAGCATGTTTATTGCATTTGAGAATGCCATCATGTCAGTAATGAGTACTGACTACACAACATTTTTTTTTTATTGTCTGTATCCACAGACACGGAATGATGGAATTACAGTTGATGTCAAGGAATGAGTTTCTTTTATGCCTTATCAAAACAAAACGAAACAGAAAAAATTCTCGTTCCTGGCAGCACATATCCACAAAGCACCGTGTGCACAATCCGGACCGGACCCTCTTCCTCGAGGCTTCTGGGTAGCAGAGATCGTGCGAACCAAACTGGGCCCATAAAATGCCTTTAGAATCGTTAAGTCTCATTCTCAGGATAAAAAAGTGAAACCGACATTCAAAAACATCCAAAATATCAAGAGGGGATCCTGTGAACCAACAGGTACCCACCCCCCCAAAATTCAAAATCCTTATGAGCGTGTTCTTTGTACCCTTGGAAACAGAGCTCAGCTGGAATGTGGAAAGGAGAGGAAATATTTTTTTAAATTTTTTTTTCATGATAAAATAGCTAGTGATTTACATCCATCAGATTGTGGGTGCAGAATCCCAGGTCTTCTTGACTGGGTCTGACAGAATGCAGGGACTACTAGTGTCAGAGCTGTCCCAAGGTGGTGAGGCTGGTGGTCACTGGGCACGTACAGTAGCCTTGATGCTTCATCTCGCGGCTGGTTCACTGCGGGCAGCGTCACACTCTTACAAGGACAGACTCTAGGGACAAGGAGGATGGATTCTCATTCCTGACAGTGCATTTGCCTGATACAAGGGACTCTCTCCCTATACGCTTTTCTTGGAAAAAAGAAAAAAAAAAGTAACAAATTGTCTTTACATCTTGGCACCTTGTAAAGTTTTCCTTTTTTTTAATACAAAAAGTTCAATAGCTTTGACAACTCCCCATTATTAATCACTACTTCACTGATAAACTTTGAAAGTGTGACCCTGGCATTTCATCATGCAAAATATTTACTGCAGCAGGAGAAAACATTTTTTAAAACAGCATTTTTTTTTCTCTTTTCAAATGTATGAACTGGTTTAAGATAGCCAGGAAGGCAGTGGTAGAATAAACACAAGGGATAGGAATGTATCAAAAAACAGATTAACACACACGCGCACGCGCGCACACACACACACACACACAAATCTGTACAAAATGCTCTGATCAATGAGAACAGAAACAAAACAAAACAAAACAAAACAAAACCCGTCAACTATGTTACAATTTAAAAGCCAAAGGGGAAAAAAAAGGTTAGGGAATTTCTCCCTCCCACATGTCAGGAAATGTCATCCAATATTCTTAAAGCAAGGATAACTAAATAAAATACATGTGCAGCATATTCTGCAATCCCATTACATACAGTAGTTTTTTTCCAAAGCTATTTTTTTTTAGTATCATTAATATAAAGCAGTTGCACAAAAAGCAAAGGTGTTTTGACAAAACAGGTGTATGCATTTATTCCTTTTTAGGAACAATATCTAAAAAAAGAACCGCCCTCCGCCCTCCCCCAAAAAAGACAAAGATTCACACAGACACATTGGAATATATGTACAACGTAATAAACCCCATCGTAAAGAAGCGCTGGAACACCCCCCCCCCAAGGGATACAGAATCAGAATTGTAAAAATCATAGTGAAGTTTGCTTGCTGTAAAGCCTGAGAATTTTTTTTTTCAGTTGGTTCTTCTGCAGGGCTGTGATACCTGCAAAGATATGTAAAATCTAATTTTTCTTTTTTTTTTCTTTTTGCTACAGTCTTTAGACTAAGCATGCAAGACATACAACTAAGTGCAACTGAGTGAAATGTATTTTTTTTAAATTTTCATCATTCCCTAAAGGTTTGAACTGAGGTATGCGTACTAACAGTTTCTCATGCTGTTATCTTTACTCATGTCTAGCTACACATGCTGAGAATGAACTAATCTACCAGATTTTTATCCTCTTTTGAATACCAAACTAACCAGCAACCACTCAGTTTAGAAGCACAGGGCCCCCTTCCCATGACCCTGTCTGGCTACTGCCTGCACATCATGAAGCTGCCTGGAAAAGTTTAAAAAAAAAGAAATCTCGAGTGACCACAGACTGCCCTTTATACAGAAAGCAGAGTGAAGCTTCAAAAGAAACTGGCAAAGAAGTTTTTGTACCAAGCTTATGAGTGGACGGGAGTGTTGCTTTCTTTCTTTCTTTCTTTTTTTTTTAAATGAAAAATGCTGACCCAAAGCCTAATTAGAAAAAAAAGAAGGAAAAAGGAAAACATTAAAAAAAAACAAAACAAAAACAAAACCCGGAAGATCAATGCCCAGACAGAGCAAAAGTGAAGCAGTGATCCTAGCATAGTCCTTAAAATCAAAGTGGCATACGATCTTTCTGAAAAACAAACAAAAAAATGTATTCTAGAAATGGTACTATGTGATTGAGTTGCATTGTAGAAGCTTTTCTGTTTTCTTTCCATTGTATCTTGACCGTCTCCCTTACTGGTTACTCCCTAATTTGCAGTGGCGTCCATTCATGTTTCTGAGATGGGACTCCCTTCCTTCCCTTGCTCCTGTAATACTTTCAGCAGCCCCGTAACCTCTCGTTATGAGTTTTGGTCTCTGTTGAGGTACAGAACAAGAAAAAAAAAAAAAAAAAAAAAAAAAAAGTAACAACTTTGGTTCCATTACCTACTTGGTCTTCTAAATTTTTTCTATGATGAAGGAGCAGTTCTCTCTCTCAGGTTAGCAATAGCCTAGAACTCATTAATTGCCTCTAAATTCTTTCGCCTCCTTTGATCAACAATAAGAGGATATTTGGCTTCATCAGATAAAGCATAAAACAGAGAACATAATTTACCTTTGTGTAATATCTTTGGTAATTTTAGAAAAAAAAAAAAGGTACAAAGAATATAAATTAAGCTCTGAAAGGCTCTCAAAGTAAAACAAAACAAAAGCTACGGTCCTAGATAAATAAATGAGTGACAGGAAAGTGGGTGCAGAGTGGAGGCGTTGAGGGGTTCTAAGGACTGAGGTTGTACTGACCGAGGACTGCCATGTTCTGCGTGCCACGTACGTTTCTCCAAATGGCCAGGGGCGCCATGCGCCCCCGACTCCTCGATGTCACCTACTGTTAGTTTTGGATGCTGGCTCGGTGTGATAATATTGCATAACAAACTGAACCGCAGTACCAAATTTGCACGTTTGAAATGAACACTTTCGCATTTGCTGGACTCAGTCCTCATTAACTTCCATAACAAATTCAATCTGAAATCTAATTTGCATTCAAACAGATTAATGCCACCAAGCAGGTCTGGACTGTTGGTTGAATTCAGTGCTGCCACCACTTTCAGTGGAGTTGCCCAGGGAAGCCAGCTTTTTTGGCCGTTTTGCAAACAAAGCAACCCAGGCAGGTTTCAGCCTCAGCGAGCCTGTGGCCCATGGCAACCTGGTCACCCGACGGAGAGCCTTCCATGGCCACACCATATAGTAGGAGATCTTCGGGGTAGGGGTGGGGGGGGCAGGGGAGTGCTGCCTGGGTTTCCTTAGCTGGGGAAATGCTGTGGCATTTATTAACTGCAATGGTAGCTGCAAAAAAAAAAAAAAAAAAAAAAGACACCACCAAAAACCAAAACCCAAAAAAACCAGAAACCAAATCTGAAACAACCCCCTTCCCTCCTCCAATACTGCTTCGTGGAATGAATCTGCATTGTTCCTAGGGTGTCTCTATTCTTCCTTTTTTTTTTTTCTGTCATTCATTCTCTTTCTGGCAGGACTTCACGTCTGTGTGAGAGGACCTTCATGTGTAGAGTGCAGCATTTGGGACCTTTTTTTGAAAAAGACCAAAACGGAATGTTTTCTGACTTTGGAGAAAACGTGGTGATGTCTGAAGGAAACTGGAATGAGTGACAGAAAACTACAAACGAGAAATGACATTCAGCTTTTGTATAATAAAAACACCTATTTAACATTCATCACAAGGTACAGAAAACTTGAAGCCTCCAGGAGGCCATGGGCCCAAATGGAGGCCTGAGGTCAGAACTTAAAATGGTATAGTAGAAGCAAAAAAAAAAAAAAAAAAAAAAAGCAATACATTAAAAAGTTTGGGATAATTACTTTTTAACCCCCTCCCCCCAATACACACACAAAGGCCTTCCCCATCCCAACTGGAAGCAAAACGAGAACAAAAACAAAAAACAAAAAAAAAAAAAAAAAGAGGAGTAAAGGCAGTGATAATCAACATGCAGTACTGTGCAAATAGGTCGTCCATTGGAATCCTTAAATTCTGGGCAGAGGCTTGGTCTGCAGCTTAGGTGCACATGCTCAGTTGGGTGTCCTCAGTGTCCAACGTTGGCAGGACTGCAGTTCAAAGTCTGCTGCTAAAAGTGAATCAGTTTAGCAAATTTACAACACTGATGTTGACTGTTAAGAGAGGAAAATCCCAAGTACCAAACAAGTCCATCCAATGCACAGAGTACAAATTCCTTTTTTCAACAAAAAGTAGAAAAATCAAAAATACTCCCAAATGGGATTCTTGATGGCACTAAGAGTTAACACGTTTCAGCGTTGTCAAAATGTAGTGAAAATCCTCCAGACTGTACAACAAATGGAGAACAATTTCACTGCTAACTTTTGACGTGTTTTGTTTTTTTGTTTTGTTTTGTTTTGTTTTGTTTCCCAATCTTCGTTCTTGGGGTTGGCCCCCGCCCAGAGACGTTCACTCCATGTCCTCATTTACTGGTTCGTCTTCGTAATCTCTGTCGTGGTCAAAATCTGGACTGTGGTTGGCTGTTGTCACTAAGGACAGAGGCCCTTCAGCTTCCTCTGGATCGAGGGGTTCTTCTTTGACGTGCACGGGATGCCTGGAAGAAACGAAAACAGGTTCACTCGGAAGCCCCTTCCAACCACGGTAAGTTGGGGGCTTTGGGCAACAGAAGCCACACTCAAGGACTGTACTGTGCCCCAGGACAGGCACTAGCCACGTGTGGCTCCTTAAATGAAAACTGATTAAAACCTCCCATATTTTAAAATCGGAGTTTCTCTGTTGCACTGGGGCAGCCCAGAGATGACACATTTCCATCATGGCAGAAGGTTCCTTTGGGCAGTGCTGCTCTAGAATGATCTCTGGCCAGAAGCAGCCTCTCTTCTCCGGGGGTGTGCTTACACCACCCTGAGCACTCAAGTCACCCTGGGTTCTTGTTAAATAAAGAGCCGCATGGGACCCCACAGGTCTGGGTGGGGCCCGAGACTCTGCCTCTCTAGCAAGCTCCCAGGCAATGCCGCTGGTCTGAGGAGGACCACACTTTGAGTACCAGATAACAGGCCCCTCAGTGGCATCCTGTGGAGAGGAATCCGAGTCTTCAAATCATTACTTGAAATAAGAATCTGTAACACAATGGTGGTTTGTGGGGACCACTGAGCGTGGGAGGCTGGGCTAATCATGGCTTGCTGTGTGTTCTGCTTTGCTAGTTAACATGCAGAACCTGTGAAAGAACTCTCCAGAGACCGACCCCAAGCGAGGTTCTATCATTAATCAACTTCAAGCAAACACAGCAAAGAGACACCATGATACATGCTTGAAACTCCAAATTAATGCATATTTTTACAAACTGTCAATAAGGTAAGAAAAGCCCTGCCAGGAAACACAAACGGAGAGGAAAAGGCTCGCCCAACACAACAATATGATAAGAAAGCAGAGCCCCGATCAGAATAATAACGCTGTCAGCTGTAAACAAGGCAAAACAAGAGGGCCGGCTGGTAGCGGCCACCAGGACGCCGCAGCCTGTGACAGGATCTGCCAACTTTCTCATTATGGCCCAGCGCAGGGTTCACCCGAAGGGGACTGCGGGGGATCCCGCGAAACCACTCCGATAACAATTGGGAAATGTTGTTCGTAAATCATATTTACAACCGATCCTTTGCAAATACAAATTACTTTCTGTGGCAAGCCTTTTGATATGGAAAAGAACCATTCAAGTTAAAATGGTCCCATCGCTGGGACCGGCTGCAGAAGGGAGGATTTTTTAATTGACATTATCAAGTATTAGTAATAAGAGGTGGTACTGGGATGGCTGATTTCCTAAATAATTGATGTATGCAAACCCCGAAGGCCACTTGAACCATTTAAAAACAAACAGGAGTGCTCTGGACTGCCCTTGACGGTGTGAACCTTCAGAAAACCAACTGACTCTAAAATTAGCGCAGCGTACAGAGTGTCTGGGGTAGATGTCAGGATAAACAGCTTTTCAAAAATGGTGCCCATCTTCCTAAAAACTAGTTGCAAAATGAAATGTCTCAAAGTTGTAGTCCATTGCATTTTCCTGGTTGTGCTCCATCCTTTTTCAGTTTTTTCATGGCCCTACTTCTCTGTGTTTCTACAGGGACCAGACCCAGGACTGGCTGCGTACTTTGCAGAGCCCCAGTGAAATGTGAAGATGCGGTTCAAAAATTGGTCAGGATTTTAATATGGAAATGACAGAGCATGCAAACTTCTCACACTGTGCCTCTGGAGCCAGCCCTGGTAGGATCCCTATATTTTTTGGGGAAGAATTAAGTGTACTGATGACTATACCTTAAAAAAAAAAATCACCCATAAACCTAAATTAAGGTAGGTTTTTGGTGTTTGCCTATCCTCTCCTGGGTGGCATCATATTTTTAAATATCGTGTGTATAACAAATCTGATTATTTTGTCAGCTTTTGCAGCTGTAATTTTTATAGGTATACAAGATGCCTTCTGTGGCTGCATCAGTCCCTTAATGCTGGGCATTTTGTGATTGTCTTTCCCCCCACCTTCTTTGGCTCTTTGCATAATATAGCAACCACTTTTATCCATTAATCTTCCTATTTCTGTTGATTTACCTCCTCAGGATAAATTTCTAAGAATGAAATTCTGGGAGCAAAGGCTAAAAACATCTTTACGGATCTTAAGATTTATTATAGTATTAATTTCCAAAGGGTAATATCAATTTAGACTCAACTTCCCCAGCCCCAAGCATTATTTTTTAAAAAATACTTTGTTGCTTAGCAGGTATAAGGTAAGCTCCGGTTACCTTAAATTGTTCTTCCTGGATTACTGACAGTGATGAACATTTCCTTCTGTTTGAATTTCATATTTTCACTATTGAGCAGTGCTACCTCATAAATTACCCCCAACCCTTCTCCGCTGATCACATCTGGCTAGAAATCTACCTATGTGTCACTTAGCCCTGTACTGAAGTTCAAATGTGGTTTCCTTGATCAACATTTTCCTACTTTCACTTCTTTAAACAATCAGAATTATTAATCTTTTCAGGTTTATAAACCTGCATTTGATGACCTAGGATGATATAAGGCTATCATAGGCGGTGGGGGGGGGGGCGGTGGGAGGATGGAACAGCAATGGAACATTCTTAAAGAAGTTCTTGCTTTATAATTTTTCCACTCTGACAAGGCAGTGCTTTGGTAGGCGCAAACAAAAACAGACCAGATACGAAGCTCACGGTAGAGAAGATTTTGTTTTCCCTGCGAAGTTGCAGCTGACGTTGAGTAAGATTACTTACCATCCCCAAGACCTAGGTTAGGACCCTATCATGCATGCTGGCTCACCCCAGTGCCTAATGCAGAGCGGGTCCCCAACCAATGCTAACTGACGAGATCTGTGTGACAACCTGACAACACAACCGAGTTAGACATTAAGGCTTCTTAAAACTCCAGAGAAATGAAACCCAGCTTCACGACATTTCTTGATACCAGCAGATCCCCCCGAGTGTGGCAAATACAGTCACACAGGCCTGCGGTGCTTCAGAGGATAAAAGAGAATGGATTTCCACGCAAGATACATTTCAGGTCAGACGCAAACTATTTAAGATGCAATGTTTCACATACATTCATGTGTCTCCTGGAAATCAGAACCCTACAACGCGCCACCTTGCACGTCGCCCCCTGCGCCCCCCCCCCCACCGAAATGGTTCTCAATGAATAACTGTGCAGAACCACACATCTCCCTCCTTACATCTGAGTAATTCCTTTGTCTAGCCACTCTGGGAACACGAGAGTTTTTAACTAGAGCTGACTGGTGTTTAGAGGCATTGTGTTCGGGTGTTCGGAGGGTGTGTGCACAGCGTGCAGTATTTTGCTTTCTAGCTCCGTTAGCTCCTATCAGGATAAAAGTCTAATGCCCCAAAGCCATAATTATGTGGCTACTTTCTAGGGTTTCCGAAGAGAAACAAAATGTGGTAGTGTCGCAGCGGCACAGGAAAGAGTAAGAACGAGCAGCTCTGTTTCAACGTTAGATAGTAGCTGGGCTGCCGTACTAACAAGGTCCTTTAAGCCGTGCCATAAAGTTTACGGCTTGATTTATTCCAATAGACTAGAACAGTTAAGAAACAATTTGCATCATAGCAGGGTAATGCATATTGCACAAGAAGGAAAACTATGTCATTACAGAATTCACTTAATGGAAATACGGGGTCAAAAAGAGTAACAGTCTGTGACACTGAGAGCAGGCACAGGGACTCTGCTGTTGACATATAATTATATTTAGCAAACAATGTAAAGCGGGGAGATCTGAACAACAGTGTGCATTCTGACATCTTTACAGAGGGTTTCCTTAACACAACCAAAACCAACCCAAACAAAACACAGCCGAAACCTTCCTTTCGTTAACATTTATGCTGACTGCTTGCGAAACCTGCTTTTTGGTAAGACTGGGGTTAATTCGAAGTTGTTAAACAAATTAACTTTGTAGTGGCTTTATCATGTACAGCAAAATCAGCGTCATTCTTAACTCTTGCCTGAGGTTTTTAATCCAAGTATCTTTCTCTCTTCAGGAAAAGAGTGTTTAGTGTTTTGCACACTATTTAGTGTTTTGCACTAAATAGTAGGAACATACATCAGCTAACCCTTGGAGTTCATAAAGAGGACGAGAAATAGTCTCTCTTCCATTCGTTAACTTCAAGAAAGACTTGCTTTAACGAGCGTTTCTGGAAGTAGCTTATATATACCAATTTATGTTTGCTCTGAACTTCCTTAATATCTGAGTAAACACTCCTGTCATGACAGTGATTTAAAAATGAACACGAGGGTGACTACAGTCAAGTCAGAAACACCAGACTGCTTTGGAAAAGATGATATACAGCGGTATCAGTGTGAAAGAGAAACACATTCTTAAAATGCTGTGTAGTAAATGCTAAGAGACTGTTCACATAAATTAAAAATGATTATTTCCATCTTTTAAGATCCTTTTCAAAACACTTTGGGCATGAAACTCAAATGCTAAGTAACCACATTTCAGACTCCTTCCAACGCCACCCATTATCCTGGCTGACAGCAATTTTCTTTTCCTTGTCCTTCGATGCCTAGTCATTCTGGTCCTCGTGGCCACAGGTCACCGTTTTCCATTCCTATCACTTAAATGCTCTGAAAATAAGGTGTTGGCCAGGTAAATCAGAAGGAGTGTGTAGACAAGTGGCCTGCGGTAGGAGCTGCCAGTGTTACGAACATTGGATTGGTTTCTTCGTTTCAAGTGGGCAACAGTGGAGCTGACACTTCCTCGAAGGGAGAGACTATCCCTCTAGAGCATCCCCCACAAATCCAATCATTTGGGAAAATGTGGCTTCTTTTCTCTTTTAAACTTTCCCTGGCAGGGAAGGAGCTCTCCCAGTCACGGCTCTTCTGCCATCACGCACCCACTCCCCACGGCGGCGGGGGCATCACGGCCTCTCCTGTGGTTGGCCCTGTCCTCCTGCCATTCACATTCAGCAGGGACAACCATCGCCCTCACTTCATTCACTTCTATGGTGCTCATTATACTGCCGTCTGCTGCTATAATGCTCCTATTAATTTTCCTTTTGATATTTTAAGAGCAATCTATAAATCATGCCGCCTTTCATTTGTGCCATCATGAAGGCCTGGGCAGAACACTTCAGTGCTGTGTTTGTGCTTCAGACTATCAGACAACCGAATAAACAAGTGTTCTTTTCCCCCTGCTAGGTTCGCCGTGCCTGCAAGTCGAACAAACTGACAGAGACGCATACCGATTTCAGGAGGAAAAGGTAATGTGGCTTCAATAATGGCCTGAGATCCCAGCAGAGGGGGGAAAAAAAAAAAAGCAAATGAGTCACCCGTTTTTATTGCTGTGTGCACTTGTAGGGCTGCATGAAGCCGACTGCTTTTATGGGAAAGTTAGTAAATGGTCCTTTTATGTGCTAACCGAGCTAAACACTTCCAGAAGCACCATCTTTCACCCAGGTTCTAGGAAAGCAGAAATTACAGAAAGGGATCCAAAGCAGCTCAAGAAGGGCTTGTGTGCACATCGAACCGGGAGCCCGGGACCTGAACGCAGAGACCTTCTGGGTGGACAGTACTCACACGGCTTGCAGAGGGGATCTGCCTGGACTGCTGTCACTCTCGTTGCTGTTGGTATGTTCCATTGCCCCGTTCAGCTCTTCCCGTATTGCGCTGGCTAAGTTGCCCAGAGTGGGATTTCCCATGGAAGCGGTAGTGTATAGAGGTATACTATTCTCAGCCATCGAAGCCTGCTAGCAACCAAGAGAAAATAGATGAGGACACAGAGTAAGCATACACAGGGAAACCATTCATTACGGGTGTAGTCAACGATCTTCCGTTTAGGTTCATAGTAGGGCTGGCCAATAGAAGTTGCTAACAGGGAGAGGAGTTTGCTTTCAAAGGCAGACTTGTGACCCATGTCCCACGCTCGGTTTCCAAGAGCTAGCTGGGACCAAAGGGGTGGTGGGGAGGGAGGACTCAATTTAGCTCTGCTGAGTAGAGTCACGTGGTTTAGACAGGGCTATCGAAAATGAGCTTTCTGTCTGATGCCTTCTTTCAAGATGGAATGAATATTTCCAGATCACAGGGAAATATAATGGCATTTTCATTTCTTTATCCACTTTGATGACTCCAGTATTGGATATTAAAGATTTGATCCAATTATTCTGGCCTCAGAGCTCAAACTTATGAGAACTTCCATAAACATTTACCTCTTATATCCTATAGAAAAGGAAGAGATTATAGAATTGGAGTCCATTTTTATCTCTCTCCTTCATTTCGGTTTTAATGATTTCTGAATCTGTTTAGTGTAGTCTGTGTGGTGTTACCCCACAGTTACCTCAATCTTTCAGGCTCAGACCGGTCAACCTGGAACTTTAGGACTGATGGAAAGAAATAACTGTCACTTTGTATGACTGTCAGCCCAAAGTATGGAAACGGAAAAAATAAGAAATCCTGACGTCGGTGGTGGGATCCTGTTCGCTTCCCCTCCTCCTGGGTTTGAATAAAATGACCACCCAGCCTCAAATGCAGATAGTCGTTAAATACAACCCTGAACTAGTTTCATTTGGGTAGTGATTATAACCCAGAAACTTTTCATGTTAAAGAGGATAGACTTTTAAAAACTGGCAGTGTAGTTAGATCAAGATTTATCAAAACTGTCCTCCTGCAGACTACAGTATGCCTGGTTTTCCATCCTAATGAGGAGAAAGTACAGTCACAAGACAATCTGGCATGGTGATTTCAATTGGCCAGTCATACAAGAGTCCAAAGTATTCTAGAAATCCCGGCTCTAGAGAGGAAGAGCCAACAGTGAAGACAGAACGGGTGCAGAGCTGGGCTGTAGGGAACGTGCCCATTGTGAGAGCTGCAGCCTCGCTCACTGTACAGATTCCAAAGCCAGGGATGCCTTCTTAGATACAAGACCCTGGGATGGGTCTTCACTTAACATACCATTGGCCAATGGACGATTTCAAAGCCAGGCTCCATGCAAGCCCACAGCTTTCCCTTCCCTCCACTTCTGGATTTACATAACTGCCTGCTTTTTAAAAAGTGGGAAAAAAAAAATCCTGTTTTTATTTCCAAATGTGGTGAACTCATTTTGACGAACAGCAAATCTGAACATTCCCTCGCTCTCCTACAGTTTGTTAAATAATTTGCATCAAGTACTTTTTTCAACAGATCTCTTATATTTGCAATAAAGCATTTTCCTTTTTCTTGGCAGAGGAAAAAGCAAGAACGGTTGTCCGATTATTTTTTAATCCCCCCCCCCAAACTGCAGCTGGATAAGCATCTTAAATAGCTTTCATTTGCGACAACTCAGTGGTCATACCTCTCCCAGTCATGAAAGTTCTGCTCTAACACTCAACATTTCACCATGACACAGTCAGAACGTGGCCTAAGTGGGGCCATCTCTACAGCACGGTAATTTTTTTTTAGCAGCTTCTTTAGTCAAAAATGGAGGGGTAACGACAAAACTGAAGTGTTTGTAAGAAGGCGTTCTTTGGTATAACATGGTCACCCTTACAGACAGAGCAGCCTTCTTAAGATGACATGTTCTCCTTGGCTCTCCAAGTGTTCTAGGTGAAGGTCATTAAAACATGGGCTGAGGCCCAACAGCCACAGTGGTGAAAGGCATCCAAAAGGCAAGCACTTCTACTGATCCCTCGGTGGTGAGATCAGAAAGATATCAATGGAGAGAACCAGCTTTGTCCCTTTAAGAAAATGACCAAGTGGAAGGACAGTGTCTGCTAGGCCAGAGAGCCTCCTGCACGTTCTTTGTTGAGTGAGGGATCAAAGCAATCCACCCAATGCTAGAAACGTTAACAAAGTCGTTCTTTTGTGTAGTTGATGTCTACAAAGGAGCAGGTGGGGTATGATGTTTATAACGGACTTAATTATATAAATGGTCCTGTGTACAGTGCGTGGTTTCCTCTCAAACTGGCACTTTTTTTTTTTTTTTGCACAACAACAAAAAAAAAACAAAAACAGAAACCTAAAACTGAGGTGCCTCAGTAATGGTGCAGAAGTCCGTAAGTTCCATAATGGAACATGAACCATGCTAAGATCCTCGGGGGAAAGGCAGTCTATAAATAAGAAGCTTTATGGTTACCCTTAGTTACTTCACTTTTTCAGAGCATAATGCAATCTGTCTCACGTCCAATGTTTTATTTCTGTAGTGGATTCTGCTGTCCTATTTTATATATTGTATATCATGCATTATGTTGCTCTAGTAATCTTTTTAAGATGTTGTTCCACTATTATTTTTACTTGTCTTGAGAAATGGAAATGGGCAATAATGGGAAGGAAAGCCTGCTGGTAGAATCCTGATTTAATTTGCACAGCAGAAAGTTACATGAGACTGTCTACTGCCCGTGGATCCAAACTCCTCGACCGGAGGAAGAAGATCCATGTCTCCCGTCATGAATTTCTATCGGTTTATTCACCTCACCTCATTACGCACATAAAGTGTTCTTGGAAAGCTATGGGATCGTTTTGGGCTCCCCCTGAAAATGAGAAAGGGGAGGGAGGATGCCAGAAACAAATGTTTTCGAGAAGAAGCACGAACAGTTTTGTCATGATAAGGCATACTAATTTAAATTAGTCACATAGTTAAGAGAATCCAGAGGATCACTGCTTTTTTTCTTGCCTTTCCGCCTCATGAATGTAAAATGTGCTTGTAATCTTAATACTCTTCCAGATAGAGCAGCTTTAAATTCACACTTCACAAGACTCCAGGGAAAATAAGTTACTAATGAATGGTATTTACAGTGGCGGCATCTAAGCGTGCTCTCATTTGCTTTTCTAAAGTTACTGTGTAAACTACAAGTAATTAACAGAAACTCAGAAAGTAGTTCCTCCTATTAAAGTTGGTACCAGCTAAAAATAAATAAATATAATTACTGAAAAGCTAAGTTCCGTGCGTATGCCTCAGCACGGGAACGGTGTTAAAGGTGTATCATCCATTGTTGGGAGCCGTGAGGCTGCGCGGAGCTGGGGAAACTGACTGTGCAGGGTGCAGGGCAGGTGCTTGATAAATATTTGTTCTAGGACTAGTGAGAACCACACACCCGTCCTGATCTCCCGCCTCTTCACACACTCTGTTCCCATAATGTCAAGTCTCTTAACTATTTTTCATTCTCTTCCCTGACCCCTTCAGGAGCCTTTTTAAGACGAACTTGTTTCTGTGTAAATGTTTCTGTTTGCGTGTTGGTGCCCTTTGGAGGGGCACAAGGCGTTGGACTAAGTATGGACGATACAACCCCCAGCAAGAACTCCTGCTATGAAGGTCCGTGATGGCCTTGGAGTACATACACCCCATCTATGTACAGAGTATGTCTTTTTCAAGGTAGCAAAATTCCCTTGGCCTGTCTTCTAGAGCATTCTAGGCAGGGGCAAATGCAAACTGGACCAACAGAGAGATGGGACGACTAAAAGGCTCGGGCTGCCTGGGGAACTCGCATCTGGGTGGCAAACTCCCTCCTGCTCAGAACCAGTGTCTTCATCCCCTTGTAATGCTGGTTATGTAACGAGTGCTTGGTTCGTCACTGGGAAACAAACATTCTGTACGCTTCTTATGCAATCTTGAGCAATCTGCTGGAAACCCAAAGAGTGTTCTTCAACACCTCTCTGGTTTAAACAAAAACAGTTTACTTTTACCAAGTGAACCAAACCTGGATCTCTCCTAGCTCCCCCCGCCCCCAAAGCACCGGACTGAAGATGCTAAAACAGACTTTAGAAGAAGAAGTAAAAAGCCCTGCTTTCTCTTTAAACCCGTGAACAATAGAAGGTCATGTGATACAGTGGCCTATCATCCAGCACATTAATAGCTGTGCTAGAGTAATTACACTTGTGGTATTTTTGCCTCAAGTGAAATTCTGAAATAAGAGGATGGAAATTATGATACTGCTGATAAATATTAATAAGTGAACTTTTAATTTTTTTGCCACAATATTCAAAATGCTAAGCATCCCGCTAATGCTGAAGCAGCCCGATGTGTTTGCCTCCAGGGAGTACGATGCTTTGTGCACTTAAGAAAAAAGTTTAACGGAATTAAAATTTAATATCTAATTAGAGCGAGGCTAATATATTTTGAAATGAGTGGGGGAGACATGTGCCTCCGCTGCATGTTCGGGACGACCATTAATCTTACCTGTAAAGCTGCATTGAGGGGCGTGCAATAGGCGTGGCTGGTCTGCATGTTTTTAATAAGGGAAGGGTTACTGCGTAAGAGAAAGATAAAAACTCAAAGTTAAACGCCATCAGCCCCGGAGTTCCGAGCTAAGTTTTATCTTAAAGCTTGCTGGTATCCCTTCCCAATCAGAAATCCACCCCCCCCACCCCCGTTAACAAAACCAAAGGAAATTTAGGTTTTCTGCATAGCCCCTGGCTTTATGGGGCTGGTCTGTCCGAACACCCCTGGGGTAAGACTTTGCTCTTCAAGGAAACTGGGTGTAAAATCCAGGCTTCAGTTAGACCAGCCCTGGGCACTCCCTCCACTGCTGCATTTTTTTTTCCCCCTTCATAAAATCTTGACCTCTCTGCAAAATTTTAGTAGCTGCCATGAGTCCAATAGGAAGGCAGAATTTCTGGTGGGGGTGGGGGGGTGGCTAGGGGTGAGCTGGTAACAGGGATTCCTGGGAGTTAGCTAGAGAATTGTCTCCATGATATTAACTCCAGAATCACGGTGGGAGGTAACGGCAGGAGGCTCTTAAAGAAGACCCCCCCCCCCCCCCCCCCCCCCCCCCCGCCCCACCAGGCACATTTAGTGCTAAAAGGAGATGGGGAGAAGGGAGTGACAGCGAAGGGTAGTTCCCAAGTAAGTGGGGAGGTTGGGCTGAGATCTATCTTGCACAGCCAAATCTGGGACTTTGTAAGAATACTGGATGTTGTGTCCATGAGCTAACGCAAGGAAGACAAGACAGCATTCGGAAAAAGTGGGGGGATGGAGAGGCTTCCAGGAGGAAGTCACCCAGATTGATCCTTGACTGGCTCTCAAAGGAAGTCTGTGTGCTGTTATGGATTTCTCTCGTCATTCATTTCCCCTCACTTATGCTATTATTATAACTAAGTGGGCAAATACCAAGACATGTACCCCGTTAAATACACATGTTAAGTCTCCACTAAAAGCTGCCTTTTTACTTGGAGGAATGACTTCTAAGCCAAGGTATTTACTCTTAAAGGGTCCCCGTAAGCTGCTGAATCAAAATACAACCAATATGTGCATTAAAGACGTCAAAAAAGCATTATTCAAGGCACTGGCGTTCCAAAGAGAAACAAGAGAAGTACATGTACGAATCACACAATTTAGCTCCATTGCAGAAAGCCGTGGCACTGCTACTTGGTGAAATGCAAAACTACATGGGATGAGTCAACCATGCAAAGCCAAAGCAACAGCAGAAAAAACAAAACAAAAGCAAGTAAAGGCTCTTACTGTGTGACAAGCTCGTCAAAGTTTTCATCGGGGCAGTATTTGCGAGGACGGCCTCGTTGAATATGGCGGCCACGTTTAAACTCTTCATCATCAACTGTCCAAAAGGACCCAAACTCATCCTCTACTCTGATAAAGCACTTATGCAGTGAGAGGTTGGTGCGAATGGCACCCTGGGATAGGAGCAGCAGCAAAGGAGATGGAGTGGCAACAAAAGGAGACGGGGTTGGGGGGGCGAACAGACATCCAATACAGGGAACAGGAAAAAGAAAATAAAATGCAATAAGCATAAGCAAATGGTTTGTGAGGGTTAATATGCATTGCCACCTAAAAGCTACTAGCGTGGGATGCAACAAAGACCGGCAAGCAGGGCAGGGGACTGGTGGGTATACAAAACAGGAGGGATGAAATGCTTTTTTGCTTCCCTTAACTGAGACAACGTGAAACCGGTTCGTCGGTCTAACACCGTCTAGCAGCCAAAAGCCTCTACTTGACACTTGTTAGCACAATCCAAGCTAGGCTAAGAAGTTCAAACATGGTGGACGTACCCACTGATCTTTTGTGGCCTTCGTTTTTGGAATTCTACTTCATCCACTGTCCATACTGCCCCTTTAACGTTTTCTACTCGCACAAAACACTTGTGAAGACTAAGATTATGACGCACTGCATTCTGCAGCAAGTATAAAAGAGAGAACATTTACATTTTCTATAAGAAAAGACTCCAAAAACAGCAGTACATTCAGCCTCACAGTCCACATTTGTCAAACCATTCCCAAGAGCTGTAGCTAACCACCCCCGTGGATGACCTTCTTGAGGTTAAGGATGCCTTTTCCAAATGTAAAAATTAAAAAAAAAACAACAACACAAAAGTATCAATTAGTTATATCTGGCATTTTCATCTACTCTCTGGTAGGAGCTAACTAGAAGAAATGGTTAATAGAAGCCCCAAATAGGGTTCACAGTAAAAATCTGAAAATCGTGTTAATATGACTTCAAAATAAACATGCAGAGTGTAAAACTGTCCCCTTTAAGCCCACTTATCTCCCATAGAAAAGGGTATTTTTAAAAAATCATGCAAGATGATAATATTGTTAAACACATTTTGCTCTTATTCTTTTTTCAAAAGTTTCGGCTTTAACACCTTCTACAGGTTTTGTCAGGTTTATCTAAATGGATTTTACCACTGAAAGCATCACCTCCTGCAGCTGATAGGATGAGGGAATGAAATGATCCCCAGGACATCAGTATCCATCATCAAGCTATGTCTTACCTTCCCGAACGTATAAAACCTTGGCCCTTACTATGGGCAATTACCTTAACTAACAAAAAATGCCAAAGAAACTCTTGAGTCGAACTCTTAATGGCAAAAAGAGGATAGTCCTGCAGCTCGCGGTTCCTAAAGACATGTTTCTGTCCCTGGTCCCCATGTCTCTTTCTTATGGTTAAAGGTCATTTCCAAGATCATTCTTAAATGGAGACCCTTGATACCCACAGCCCACCGAAGGTGGGTAAAGAAAAGCTTTTAACATCTCCTCTTTGCTTTGATTTTCAGGAAAATCCACAACCCATGCTGGGGCCCGGAACAAACAAGGCCTCGTCTCTTTAGCCTCCTTGGTTGAACTTAACTGATCTAGACTCCAAATTAGACATGAGCACATTACAAAAAGACCCATGCCATTGACTCAAGACTTTCTTCTTACAGAGCATAAGCAGGTGACTGCTGGGGCATGAGGAGTGGATGCAGACATCCCATCTCCCATGCCGTGTAGCATATCCTCCACTCCACTCCATTCCAATGATGCTGCCATCGCTCAAATGTGCCGCACGGCACCCCCTTGGGCTGCCCGCAGGTACCTCTGTTCTCAAGATCCTGAGCCCTGTTTCTACTTTTACGTAATCACCACTGATGCCTCTGACGGAGCAGTCAGACGAGATAGTGCTGGTTTTTCTTTTTCGATATGGGATATTTCGAAGATAACGAGACACGTTTTATGACATAGCCAAGTTATCAACCACTCGCAAGGAGAATCCACATGATAAATTCTCAGAGTTTTTGAGCAATGTCAGCATAACTGGGGTAGGCTGCAAACATCCAGGTGACCGTGAAAGGACACCCCTGATTCAAACAGGTTGGACAGGTTTGCATGAAAAGAAAAAGAAAAAAATCTTTGAAAACATTTGCCATGTTGTATTTATACTTGGTAGGACAAATTTCTTCACGTGTAAGGTGGTAGTCTGCTCTTTGAATAAGCATTTTCTTTCTCATGTGGTACCGACACAGGCTATATATATAGGGATGCAAACGGTCTCCTCTTACCTCCTAGGACAATACTAAGGAGGTTAAAACAAGTAAGTCCAAATTGTCTTTTAAAAAAATACAGACAAGATCATGTATATGTACAGAAGACATAATGGGGAAAGATATCAACATTTCCCCTCCACCCTATCACTCTCTAATATTTGAGAATAAGCATCGTCGAAACATTTAGAACTGCAGATCTACGGAAACCATGTCTGCCAGAAGGACTGCTATAGATCTGTCTGAAGAACAGAGCCATGTGAGTAAAGATAGAAAGTCAAACTGAAGTTTTATTTTCCAAGACTGTACATCTAAGCAAAAGCACCCAGAAAACAAGAGTTGCCCAAAAACGTGAGTAAGCCCTTTTCAGCCCTAACTTAAACTGGGCACTTCACCTTCTGTTTAGGATGACAATACCAATAAGGACACGGGAAGAAAATTATATGTGTTTGAGTCATTTGGTACTTGATCTAGGATTGTTTATATTGATGGCACTTTTTCCTGCAGTTTGCAAAAATGAAAAAGTTAAAGCTGTAGATCTGAGCTTAAATATCATATTCACAGCCAGTAATTATTTTTAAATTTGATCACTTGCTATTTATAAAAGGCAATTTGAAGAAAATGTCTGCTTCATGCTTATACTTCCTACATTTTGAAAAGCATTCATAGCTAAAGATACTTTGCATTTTATCTCCTAAGGGAGGCTGAGGAAAAGCGGGTAAGGTTTTGAACATAGGTTCCCTTCAGCACCCATGTGTCTTAATGGAAATAAAAAAGGATACTTTGAGCCATAAGAGATATTCATGGCTGTGTGAGGTTGATAAATTAATTCTATGGTTATATTCATTTTCTTTTAAAATGCTAATTTTGTAAGAACATAAAAGAGGCAATGTGTTTTCTGTTTTTGTTTTTCTCTTATCTAAAATTTAAAAAGTAGCAAAGAAAATTTCCATTGCATCGTATAATAAATCCCTATCATATTTATAATAATGACATGTAAAAATACCCTAAGATATTTGCATTTTACATGTTGTGGAATTTGGGGATTTTAAGAATTCTAGGTAGTAAAAAGGCAAAAAAAAAAAAAAAAAATCCAAAACCAGATTGAACCTGCCCTCTTCTATAGCAATAATATTTAAACCAAGAAATTAAAAGCAGTAAAATCCAAAAATTTGTGAGGGCTTCATTTAATAAAATGGAAGGAATACTAAAGGAATCTATGAACCCATTGTTGAACTGGAAAAGAGGAAGGTCACGTAACCCTCAAGCCTTGTTAGGGCATCCCATGCGGAGCTGAGGGATTTGGTCCATTTTATAGCAAACGGCATTACAGTGAAGTTGGATCATTTCCTTTTCCAGATTCTCTATGATTCTCTGGCAGATAGTGTGATATAAAAAAAAAAAAAAAAAAAACAAAAGCAACCCCCCTCAAAAAAAAAAAAAAAAAAAAACCCAAACCCAAAACTAAAACCAAAAACTTAATAATACATCGTGCTCCCCTGTGATAATTTCTATATACAGAGCTAGTCATGAGACCACACCGCTTTCTTTACTAATTATGGTAAGGAGCATTTTTTTTTCTTTTTTAAAATCCAACCAGTGAAGGTTATGTCAAGTTTGTCTGATCATTTCTCCTGGTTAAGAAAATGTTAGCTGTGCATCTCAGCAAATACGGGTGGTGGCTAATGATGGACCACCATGAGATTTGTGTAACTAAGAGGACAACCTCAGCATCGGGGTGACAGTGTCATCCGTTCCTTTCCCCTACATATTCCAACCAGACAGAAATGATTTTACTGGCTGGTCCAGCCAAAATCTGATGCCAGTGTAATGGCAGTCTTCTATCCCAGCATTCTAACCCCAACAGTACTCTTTTCTCAATAAAATACTCCCGTAAACTTGACTCTTTGAGTGTATCGAAATAGTACACCTGTAACTTACAACACCTGCATTTTATCAACAACAAACTCTTTTATAAATGGCAAGACCTGAGCCTAAACAGGCCCGGGAGGAAGCTTACCTTCCACGTGGCAGCATTGCGTCGAAAGTAAGCAAACATTCGTGTGAACCAGTTATAGATTTCATTTAGTGTTAGCTGCTTTTCTGGAGATTCGAGAATGGCCTGTGAAGCAAAAGTAATAAAAAGAAGATAATTTATGACCAAATCAGCAGAATCGTCATTATACAGTTTCTTGAAAATATAAAATAACCATGATTCAGAGCTAAAGCCCAAGAAAGGTTTCACGAAATGATCTAAGATTAATGGTTGTATTTAACAGTTCAATAGCAAAATTCAAAACGGAATTATCTAATTGTTTTGAGTTTTTATTTCTGTTTCCGTACAGAAATATTAATTTATTAGTCATTCATAAAGCAGAATCAAAGAGAAATGCAAAACATTTCACTAGCTGATTAAAGCTCAGTAATTATTTAGAGCTCAGATTAATTCTAGGGATCAGAGATTACTGTAGCTTGTGATAATTGACTTGCCATCTTTAAACAGGCTCATTTTCACTGTTGTGTGAAATGAATTTCCTAATAATCACATCGTATTGTAATACTTAATCAAAAGCAATTATGTTATATATTGCAGTTTTAAAAAACCTTATAGAAAAGGTTTTAGCATGCTTGCATACTAAACGGTTCTAAATCTACTTCATCAATATACTATATCCATGTACATGTATACATTTGATGGAATTCCCCATACTGCGTTATTTACTCACCTGCCTAATTAAAGATGCATACGTAAATGGTGGTCTAACTTCTGCGTTCTTATAAAATTCTTGGTTCTGCGCAATATCTGCTAAAATAAGAATCATTGTCCTATTAATTATCACTTTTTAAAAAGAGGGTGGTCTACAAGAATTGCATATTACAGTTCTACATGAGGCAAACAGGAAGTAGCTACCTGAAGAAATGGGCACGTTGTATTTGTCCGAGTACCGCCGGCGGATGGGTCCCACCGTATGCATGCTGGTGGTGGTGATGACGGAGGGGCCTTGGGTGACAGGAGTGATGGGGGCGGTTGGGGTCGTCGGAGTATGAGGTAAGCTCTGTGGAGAAGCCTCAGATGCAGACTTGGAGAGTGTGACACTTGATACCAGATTCAGCTGTGAGGAAGAGAAGAGTTCTTAGAAGAGCTTCAGAAAAGCAGAGAGCAAGCAGGCATCTGAAATCCAGCAGGAGCATGGCAGGGGATGCCCGGCTAGCTTTACTTCTCTAAATAGATGCTTCTAATCACCTGAAACGGGAGGCGAGTTCCCACGTAGAAACCGTTCGCATAGTTGGTTAGTTTAAAAATCTCTCTGGCCATGTTCTCCTGACCCGCTGGTGACACAGGTGTTTTCCAAAGACGGTGAAAAATGAGCGTATGCACAAAGGGGTGACCTAGCCCAGTGAAGTTTGACAAGTTCTGGGTCAAAACATTCCTTGAGTCATGACTTTGAACCCTGTTGAGCAGCCTACTGTGCTTGGCAAATCTCCTGGAGGGGGTGGAGTCCTCATAGCGCCAGGGAACACCAACATTCTAGAAGCTACCAGTTGGGATACACTGGTCTAGACCTGAGCGCTCCAGCAGCACTTTCTGCAACGTGCTAGCACCAGTGCAGAGCTGTTTTTACTTTTTATCAAGATTAAACTTTTGTTTAAACAGCCACACGTAGCCAGTGGCTACCACTCTGGCCACCACAGGGACAAGCTACTTAACTCCACGATGAAACTGCAGCGATTGGAAACACCACAAGGATGTTTGGCCTATGGCTCCCGTTTAAAAAGACTGCCACTGGGGCACCTGAGTGGCTCAGTTGGTTGATGGTCCAACTCTTGATTTCGGCTCAGATCATGTTCTCACGATCACGGGATCGAGCCCGGCGTTGGGGTCTGTGCTCAGCTTGGAGTCCACTAGAGATTCTCTCTCCCTCTGTCCTCCACCCCTGCTCACTCTCTCTCAAATAAATAAATAAATCTTAAAAAAAAAAAAAAAAAGAAAAAGAAAAAAAGAGTGGCATTGATCCAGTAAGACATCATTTAGTTCTATCAGTTGGCAAAGACTAATCTTTGAAAGCTTTATGTGTAGTCTTCATTAAACTCTATCCAATAGAGGACTGGAATCTATTTTAAAAAATGACATATGAAACATCAGGAACTGTACAAAATTTTTTTCTTTCAGTTTCAAATACTCAGTAATACAATGGAATCTATAGCATCAAGTGAGGAAACACGCGTTATTTGAAGTCGTACAAAGGAAGATGAAGGAGTACTGTTTCCTTCCTTCGATAAGCGTTCACCTTGGAAGTGCTTATTAGTAATAATTAAAAAAAAAAAAGTGGGCTTGTCCCCCTTACCCCAAGTTTCTTCTTCCAGAAATACTAAGTCTGGCTATACTACAGAACCTGGCCATTTTCAACACATTATTTTTACATACAATTGGCATCTCAGATACTTCCAGCCGGCCCCAAATCCAAGAAACTTATGCCAAGGAGGCTTACTTGTAACATTTTCTCAAACCAGATTTCAAATCATTTAACATAGTTACATATTTCACTATTATAGTAGCCTTACGGACAAGACGTTATTTGTGGGAGGTATTAAAAATGAGATTCCTCCGGGATCATAAAGAACACATTAAAAGGTCTGGTTTGTTGAGATGATACAACCCTACTCGTGCTCTGATAATGAAAAAGGCCATGAGAATGCCTCTCATATGTGAAAACAAACAAGCAAACAAAATAAAATCCTGAAATCTGAAGAGAAGAGCGAGCAAGTATTGTTAGGTAAATATGCATGGAAAAAATGTAACTATGTTGCTGGAAAGGGAATGTCAGGGGAACAAACCTGTAATTGTGCTTCTCTTTATAATCTCCCCGCACCTACCAGTGAAATGCTGACTCAGCTAATGCCAGACCCTCCCCCCCCAGCCCCCCCCCACCCTGGAGAAGGGCAAGCTGTGCAGAGGACCCTGCTCTCACAGCCGCCACCCCCACCAACCCCAGCAAACTGGGCCAATGCTGTGAGCCACTTTCTTTTCTATTCGTGCTGGAAACCTGCCTTCGTGACGCGTACTTGCGGACTAAGTGCTTTCAGTTGAGAGAGGCAGCCTTGGGATGGAGCAGAACTGAGAAGCCATGGGGGAGGGCTGGGGCCGACCTCCTCGGCGCCGTGGGCCTTCATCACTGACCAAGTGCAGGAACTGTCTGTACGAGCATCAGCCCACGCGACGGGTCAAGGAAATTAGTTGCGGGAAGGCTACTGCTCATAAACACAACAGCTTTTCAAATTTGGATGCTGCTAGGCCTAAGAATATCCAAACACTGGAAAGTCCTGGAGACCATTTGTATAAACCATGTTGCGAGCCACCTGCCACTGTGTGATTACACTTCATTCTCCTACTGTCACTGATCAGTGAGGTGTCGCTGCTCACCGTGTACAGATGAGCCGACTGAGGCTCACGACCGAGGAAATAACTTGCCCCTATTCACAAACAGTCACACACACACACACACACAAACGCGTGATTCCAGGCTCTCTGTATAAGCTTCTCATGCCCAGTTAACGGGAAAAATAAACACCGGCTAGTTTCATTCCTCTGTATGCTCACTTTTGGAAAGGAAAGGAGTCTGTGGATAGCTTTAGTCCCTGCTTATAAATCATATTCAATAAATATTGCTGAAAAAATATAAGGCATCTGAAACTGAAATGACACAAACAAGGGCAGAACATTCATTTGCTGCCCCTTGACAAGCTTCCCATCGAACACAGACCCTGGTCCAAGGGCAGTGTGTGTAATAACCACAAAGCAATTCTGAGGACTAACTCCACTTTTTGGCTTTTCTCTTCCGTTTAAGGACAGCACCTAAACACCGTAACTTTCTTCAACACTTAATGAGAATTATAAATACAACGGCCTCAAGGAGTATGCCGGCTGCTTTCCCATTTTGTGAGGGAGGGCATCAAGTGTGCTGCTGGGCTCCAAAAAAATCAAAACTCGTGTAAACATTCAGCCACGTACAAATCCATCTTGTGGTGCTCGCACAGGAGAACGGACATGTCACGTGGTACTGTGTCATAAAATGTGAGAAGAATGGGACATCTGCAGCTTTTACCCAGGGTCCTAACATCTGGGCTGTCTGTACCGAAAAAGCAACAGTGAAAAATAAAATCCTTCCAGGTTAGCATGACGCGCAGAGAAATACACGGTAGAATTTTCTGGAGGCTTTTGAACACAGGTAGCAAGTGGAAATAAACACGAAGCCAGAAGAGAGCAGAGAGGGGGCTTACCAGGCTTGACAAATGACACCGTGATTCACACCCACTGCTGGGCTGTCTCTAATAAGCCACAGAGGAAGCAGCCAATCTCAGCTAATTACCAGATAAAAATGTATTGTAAGGGTTCTAATTAGGAGACGCGGATGGAGGTGATCTAATGATTAAATGCTGCATTCGAGTGACCCCACCATCAATGTGCAGTGGTGCGAGATGTCACTGGAATATTTTGTAGAAACAGTAATTTTACTTCGAGGAGGGGAGGCAGTAATATTTGTAATGATGGCTGTGAGGTAAACTAATTAAAAGACGGTTCCTACAGGAAGAGGGTGGCTGAGAGCAGCTGTGGCCATTCCACAACCAAGTGCCAAGTCTCCACAGAGGAATGGCAGTCAAGTGGAAAATTTCTGCCTGACCTCTGGCCTTGCTATTAATTTGCAGGAAAACTAATGACACATATACATATTCCCACAAAATTGTTCTAATTGCTAATTTGCCAAAGGAGCCCAGATTCCAAATTAAACATGACTGTGGTCTGTGAGGGAAGGAAGAACAAAAAGCTGTAAACTCCAAACAGAGGGGGCTTCGCCTGGCGAAACCATTTGAAGGCTGAACCAACAAGTTAATGAAATGTCAACCTCGTCAACGGCTATAGAAGTTTGTTAACTTTTAAACTTTTGTTGGATCATCACATGCTTGTCTTGAGGAGAAATCATCTTCAGGGAGGAAGGTCACAAGGGAGAGAGAAGATGGGGAATGGGGAAGGATTCAGAACAGGCTCTGTGTTCAAACCACACCGGCCCTTTTAAATTGAGGTCTCTCTGAAAACAGAGGACTCTCTCCCTCTCCCTCCACCCCCCCCCCAAAAAAAAGAGAGAAAGAAAAGTTAATTACGGACTTACAATAGAAGAGCAAATCTGGACTGGTGTGGGTTTTGCTGTCATCTTGAAATATTCATCTTAATTGTAAACTATTAAATCTTAATATAATCATCAATTAGAAATGAAAGCATATGCACTTCATGTTTCTGATCATAGTTAAGGTTTTAAAAGATAATTCCGCCCCCCCCCCCCCAGGGGCATGGAACAGGAAGGGATTGGACTGGGAGGGTTTCTTTTCCTATTTTTCTTATTGTGTCTATTTTCTATTTAAAAAGAAGTTGCTATGTTTGGAAAAGTTAGCAACTCCGATATTTTCTACATGGCGAGTTTCCGTCATGTGATGATTTCAGCAAAGATAATCGCTTTGAGGGTCTGGCCAGAAGTTAAACTCTTCTGTCACTTGAGATCCCGTGTAGGGTTTTTCTTTTTTAAATCTCCGTGAGCTCTTAACCACCGGCGTTCCCCACTGCTCACTTCCAGAAGGACTGTCGTGGGAATCGTACCCGTCCCGACTACCGGGACTCTGTCAGCTGCCTGATACTCTGCTGAGCCCTTTTCTAAAAGATTAATCTCCAGTTTTTAAACAGTAACCTCCTCTCTTCTTTTAAAGATGATGAGTCACTCACATTTTTAAAAAATAAACAAAGCGCTGATGTAAACCCCGGACAGAAACAGACTTGTCGTGAGTATTCCCATAAGAACTCCTTTTTATTTTTGTTTGCGCTCTTGCCTCATATGAAAACAGATTCTGAGAACAAAAGACAAACCTGAAACCCAAACACCGGGGCACCTAGCTGCTTAGTAGGGACTTTGAGGCTCACAGAACTCGTTTTTCTGCTCCCGGTGGGACGGCCCTAAGCGGGCTCCAGGCCTGCGTGAACGGCACACTGTTGCTAGACACGACTCACTGGCGTTCGGAGACGGCCGGCCTTCCTGAGGCCACGTCCATGGGGAAGGATGTCCATGGG